AAGGAGACTGAGTATTTAATAAATATTTCTTTTAAAAAGAGCTCTTCTGCACTCTCAGAAAAAAAGGTACAAAAGCTGTCACTGGGGTGGTATCTTTTCAAAAGGTACACTTTGTGCCTTATATAGGTACTCCTAAAGAGTGCATATTAGTACCTATATATTAGTAGCTACATGATACATGTTAGTACCTTTTGTAAAGGTACTGCCCCAGACACAGCTTCTGTACCTTTATTATTGAGAGTGTAATAAATGCCCACTGTGACCAACAAGGCAGACCACTGTGACCTGCAGCCATGAAGCCATTGTAAGTGTGAACTCGCTGGATTTTTCACAGTAATTTTCCTAACTGTAATGATATATATAAACTGACAGTTGTATGTGCAGGTATATTATAATAGACAGTTTTTGTATGTAGAGGTACTGTATATTATGTGCAAATTTGAGGTGTAGACTGAGTATGAGTGTTAGGGTTAGTGTATGAGTATAAATAAGTGTATGAGTGAATAAATAGTGTGTGTTCCACAGTTATTGTTAAGTGTTCATGAGATGGATGGCCTGAGGGAAGAAACTGTTCCTTCCTGAATGTCACGGAATACGCAACATTTGGATGAATAAATCAAAAGTAGGTCAGTACACTTGAATCAAAACGCGATGCTCAGAGCTCTGTAGCGTCGACCAGATGGACTCTTTAGGTACAAAGGTGTGCCTTTTGAAGTGATACCGGCCCAGTGACAGCTTTTGTACCTTTTTTTCTTTTAGGTAAGTCATCAGGGTAAAAATGACAATTATACTGACGGTCGCTCCAGTGACATTATAGCAGTTCTTTCTAGCGGTGTCTGATGCACTGCATGGACTGACGTTTTGTACAAAATACATATGAGCATTTAAACGAACATGTGAATTGGATTGCAAAGGGTTTATATAAACAGAACTTTCAGAATCTGAAATCAATTGGATTCGTTCAGATTGACAAAAATGAGTGCATGTAAGCATATCCATCTGTTAGATTATTCTAATAGTGTTTCACTCCTGGCCTCGTGTTTATATGGAAAAATCAGCTGGTGTAGTGTTGCTGTATAATAAAAAACCCTTACAAATACCAGCTATGCATGTAAATATACAACAACACGTAACAATAAGTATGATTATATCTTAAATATCAAAATGTGATTCGAACAATCTCTTAACATCCTGCATGTATTTACATCATGTTTCAGTTTGTAAGCAAGTGAATGCAGAGGGAGTATAAAGACAAGAGAGTGTAAAGGAGATACAGTCACACATAACCAAACAGTTTGTTGTATACAACTGTTATTTCCTGGTGAAAAGGTAAAGGCTGTAACGATGAATGCTCACTATGCAGTGATTATCAAACAACTGATATTCCTACCTTTTCTCTCCAGAGTGTCCTTCCCATAACCCACATACTTCTGCAGCCACTCAATGCATTCATTGTCCAGATATGCTTTATAGACATTTGCCTCTGCTCTGGTGGATTCCCATTTGTTCTTGGTAATGACAGCTTGAGGATTTGCAGCTGTGAAGGTGAGGGTGTTCTTATCAAAGCTGATGAAGTCCTCTCCATCATAACCAAACTGCAGGTATCCTCGTTTGGTGCCATCATCATTCAGCTCACAGCCGTACATGAACTGGAACGCATGAACACCTGAGAGGAGAGAAACAACATGATATATCACACTCACCATTCTTCATTTCTTCTAATATAACCTTAATACTTGATGACTGAGCAGAATGTATTCCAGTCTTCTTTTTCTACACAAAAACAAACATCCACATAAAGATGAGAGCAATTATGATTAGCTAATGGGACTGGTTGGTACTAAAATATACTAGCATTCAGGAAAAGTGAATAGATGAATATGATTACATAAAAAATTGAAATCTTTGTCTGTGCATACAGTGCATCCAGAAAGTATTCACAGCGCTTCACTTTTTCCACATTTTGTTATGTTACAGCCTTATGCCAAAATGGACTAAATTCATATTTTCCTCAAAATTTCCTCAAAATTCTACAAACAATACCCCATAATGACAACGTGAAAGAAGTTTGTTTGAAATTTTTGCTAATTAATTAAAAAAAACCAAAAAAACAATCACATGTACATAAGTATTCACAGCCTTTGCCATGACACCCAAAATTGAGCTCAGGTGCATCCTGTTTCCAATGATCATCCTTGAGATGTTTCTACAACTTGTTTGGAGTCCACCTGTGGTAAATTCAGTTGATTGGACATGAGTTGGAAAGGCACACACCTGTCTATATAAGGTCCCACAGTTAACAGTTGGGGGGCAGTCATGGCCTGGATAGAGAGTCGGACTTGTAACCCGAAGGTTGTGGGTTCGAGTCTCAAGTCCA